TGAGATAATATCCCAATTTATTTTAGGATACTTTAAATCCTTGATAGCATGTCATACTTTTGCATATATTTTTATATTGTTCCATCACTTGATTTATGCCTCAAGCCCTGCTTTTGTGTGCTGAGTTTTTCAAAGTTACATCTTTGTTCTTTATTTTTCTTTATTTCTTTATTAAATTTTATTGTCAAGGTGATGTACAGAAAGGCCACAGTTACCTAAGTAAGGAAGTGATTACATTTCTTGTCTAACTTGCTACCTTTTCCCTCATTTTTCTTCCTTTTCCCCTCCCTCCAATCCCCCCAAGTTGTACAGATCATTTCCAACGTATTGTCTTGTGTATTGTTGTTGCATAGGGTCCTACTTTGTCCTTTGACTCACCATTTTGTTGTCCCTCTTCCCTTCCCTAGTTCAGACAAACATATATACAATACCCAGGGTACCAAAATTGAACACAGTGACAACAGGGAACAAACCACAGGGGGAAAACACAAAAGAAAAAAATCATGTAGTTGAAAACAATAACAACAAAGAAAAACCTCTTGTGTCTATGTCTTGGAGTTCATTTTTTCCTAGCATCATCTTATATGGTCACATAAGATATATATAGTTTTTTTTGGGGGGGGAACTCTCATGGGATTTTTGGGGTGGCTTTGAACTTTGATGTTCTGTCAGCCTCTTGATTAGCTAGAATTACAAGTGTGAAGATTAGAGATATGGACCATTAGGCTCACCTTTGTCTATCTATTGTCAATTGTTTTCTTTCTTTTTCTGTGTTAATTTGTAATCATTATCCATGTAGACTAAATACAAGTCTCTTATCTGATATCAAAGTATTCTTCAAGGTTGTTATTTTGCTTTGCTTTGTGGAATTCCTGGAAGCTTTGCTCATTTTTCTGAGAACTGGATTCCTCATTCTGACAGCCTAGCAGTGGATCTGCTCCAGGAGCTGTGTTCAAAACTGCAATGCTCTACTCGGTGTCCCAATGTATTACCATTGTACAATGTTTTGCATGTCTTACTGTGAGTCTCAGTTTATTTTCTGTATCATCCATTGGACATTTCCTCATCCAGAGTTGTCATTCTTGCCTGGGAGACCTGAACCCCACTTTACTATTAATTCCTTCTTGAGGACCCCTCTTTGTATATCTGTGTAGGAGCCACCAGAGTTTACCGTCAACTCTCTCCAATCTCCTTGCTGTGAAGACATGCTCAGTAGAGTCTCATGTCCAAGTTAATCTCCCAATACCTTACGGTAACTCCAGGCTTAAGAGGCTCAGAAGCTGAGATCAGAGCTTAAACTTCTGGGTAAAGGATGAAAACACAGGTTCCATGGAGGAAAATCATGCGTAATGTCTTAACAATAATCTTAAGGTCAATGACATTTGAAATCAATTCTTAGTGGCATTTTAGGGTAAGGTAGAGCACAGTTATGACAGGACAAAGTGTGAACAAATGCAGTAGTGATACTCACTGGACACTATTTTGAAAATGATCTATACAACTTGGGGGGGAGGAGCTCAGGAGGAAAAACTAGGAGAAAATGAGGGAAGAGGTGACATTGTTCTCATTACCTGACTTATGTAACTGTAACCTGTATATCACCTTTACAATAACATTTAAAAATACGTACTAACATCAAGAACCTATTTAAACTAGTGTGGGACTAAACACAATTCATAGGAGACAATATAACTCGCATGTGATCTCTTTGAAGTTTTTGAAGATCATATTTTGGGATGCTTTTTGGGGTAATAGGTGTTGTTGTTTATTTTTCCTCTAGGAAGCACCAACTTCAAGGGCTGGCCTTCCTCATTAGCAACGTTTGAAAATGTGACAGTGACTCACAATACTTCAGGTCACATTTAATTTGTCTGCCTTAGGGGCTTGCAGATCGCCCACAAAATATCTGCGGTTTCATGGCATTGATTAATTATACCTTCATAATCATTCATGTTTTTTTTTTCAAAAGTTAATTTCCACACTGGAGTTCTCCTATGGAGATAATGATGCTGCTATAAAAATCCTGTGTACTTTGGTATGCCTGACTTCACACAGTTTTCACCCATCATGATAACACTTTGTGGTCAGTTTTTTTTTCTGCAGATAAAAAATTGAGTTTAATACTAGTGTCTTGGTTTCTATGAAATCCAAGAACCCTTTAAGCAGGAAAGCTGACATGAAAACTGGTACCTTTTGATTATAAGTGTTCTTTGCAGTACATCTTAGATACTTCTTATTATGTTTGTTGAGGAAAGGAGATAAAGGAGAGAAGAATAATGAAATAGACTGAGGAACCTGGAATTAAAAGTGAGTTAGCACCAGTGGCTCATACCTATAATCCTAGCTACTCAGGAGGCTGAGATACAAGGATCACTGAAGCAAACTGGGCAGAAAAGCCTATGAAACTCATCAATTAGTAAAAACAAAACAAAACAAAAACAAAAAGTAAATGTGTTGCTCAAATGGTACAGTGCCAGCCTTGAGCAAAAAAGCCAAGCTCAGTGCTGGAGGCCTGGACTTCCAGCCCAAGTACTGGTGCTTGCGTACGTGCGTGGACACACACACACACACACACATGCACGCACACCCCTTATTATTTATTTGTTCTGTAAGCTGTGTTAAGAGGAAACTGTGGACACTGTTGAATTTACATTGAGGTATATGCATATATACACACATATATATGGAACTAAATATACTCTTTTTTGTGTTCTATACAAGTTGAAAATTTTATCTATTAGATAAAAATGGTGGTTTTAAAACCTAGATAGGGTAAATCAGCTTCCAAGGAAGTAAAGATAGAAGGCAGAGATGAGACTAAGTTTCAGTTACAACATTATAAAACCTAGGGGCTGGGAAGGTGGCTCAGTGGTAGAGTGCTTGCCTTGCATGCATGAGGCCCTGGGTTCGATTCCTCAGCATCACATAAGTAGAAAAAGTCAGAAGTGGTGCTATGACTCAAGTGGTAGAGTGCTAGCCTTGAGCTGAAGAGCTGAGGGACAGTTCCCAGGCCCAGAGTTCAACTGACAAAAAAAAAAAAAAAAGGCTAAAAGTTCTCCTTTAGGGGATATACACATGGGCTGTTCTTTGTCTTTTGCAAAGTCTTAGGGATCAGTCCTTGGGATAAAAAAGGTAGTGTTTATGTGGTCAGATACATCAATATAGACTAAATCCTAATTCGAGTATAGTAGGGCAAAGCTTCAAGTTTGGAGTTGCTGGGTAGATGGAAGGGAGGATAATTCTCAGTTTGACTAGAGGAAGTTTACAGGGATAGAGAACAAAGGCCTGGAGAGGACCACAGGTAGGACTAATGAAAACATGCATCAGAGAAGACTTAGAGAAAGCAGCAAAATTTCCATAACTTCATTCACTAACCATATGCAGGCATTGGGCAGGCCTGAGCTCACCGGGAACAGACCACTGTAAGTGATGAGGGAGACCTCGATTGTGTAGGCATTAACACTGTGGGAAGCACTTACCATTTCATGAACAAAATGCCAACCATTTTATTCAGCTTGAAAATGACTTTAAAATAATTGGTCCTATGAAGCTTTCCCACTAAAATGTACTTTCACCTAAATCAGAGTTGAACATATCCAATTCTCAGGTCAAAGGAAAGCCTACAGATACCTCACTTCTCACTATTATCACAGTAGGAATTGAAAGACTATAATGTATCATTGAGGGAAGGGGTTAAGAGGGCTTGTGTCTGGGTTTGAATTCCATTTCTGTTGTAAATATATATGTGTATATATATATATATATATATATATTTCAACTCCATTTAATCTTTGGTATTTTTGGAATCAACCTAGTCTCAATTCCTGAGATATTCCATGAGGGATGAATTGGATAATATACATAACGGACTCAGAGTAGTTGATAAAACTTAGCTCATTCATTATACATGTATTTTCCTATCAAAACTCTATACATATTTTCAGGATAGTATTTACGTTTTAATTACCCTATATATATTGCTAAATCTCACATATAGTAAGTGTTAAGTAAATACATACTTGATAACTAAATAAGGCAAATTTACCAATTCTACGCTTAATTTAGTTTGGAGAAGATCTTTTTCAAATTTAAAAATGAGTTGAATTTTCCAGAAAAACATAAAGTTAGCCAGGTTTTGACTAGGTTTTGAGACATGCTGTGAAGTAACACAAAGTTAAACATGTTGTGATAGCAAGAAAACATATCTTCATGTTTTATGGCTGTTGAGATATTCACCACTTGTATATTTCATGGCTTATCAAGAATACTTCTATTCTTTTGCATAGTTATGAGGAGAGAGAAGTTGTAATAATGCAGAATGAGGCTGAGTTATAAAAGTAATGAATTAAATTGTAAATATGTAATCATTATAAATTAACTTAACTAATTTTATAACAGGTAAATGGCATTGTCACAAATTTTTCATACCCATAATCCTAGTCACAGTCACTACATGCTTAGCTCCATAAAAACAGAGTTAAAGCTGCCTATGTAATTTGCCAATATCCCCACGAGTCAGCATAGAATTTGGAATACATCTGATTCCCCATAAATATTTGCTAAAATGTTGAGTGATCTTTCCTTTGAAGTAGGTCCCTAGTCTACTTCTATTAGTCTATTATTGATTTACTATTTCAGGATGCACTGAAAGTATGCAGTGTGCCTTCATTGGTCATAGCTTTGCTTGCTATAGTCACAGGAAATTGCGTCTCCAGGATGCTCATACTTTATAATACATAGAAAACCATGAGGGAGGGATGGAAATGAGGCCTACCGTGTCTAAGGCGGTTCCCTACCAAAGAACTGCAATTAAAAGCAAAAGCTGCAAAAATCTGTGTCTGATCCACATTAACTGAAGGCTGAGAAAAATGTGACCATTAAAACAATCTCAGAAAGCACAGTCAGGATTTGCTTAAAGCTCTTTTTAGATTACTGCATCAGTTACTAAAACATAAAGGCATGTAGTTGAAAAGAAACTGTAGAGACCCAGTGAGACTCACCAGAACAGTGACCACACGTAGAACCACGCCACGCATATTGTTCTCCAGTTTCTTGTCCGTCAGTGACCCGTTCAGCCCTGTGACAGGATTCCAGCACCCAAGCTGAAAGGTAAAACAGCTCTGGTCACTTTTCTGCCTGAAGAGCAGTCCAGTGACCTGTGGAAAGACCTTACAGAGATCATGGAACAATTGCTGTAGAAAGCGTCCTGCACGAGTTCTCTTTTTAAATGAAGCACATGAAGCCATCAGAAATGCCATTTCCTGTTCTTAAATATCAACGTGTGGCATATGACAGGACACAGCATGCTTTCAGGAGCTCAGTGAGGACATTTGGCTTAATGAGGAGTTATCCATATACCAATAATTCGGACAATGTAATGCATTAATTGGAAAAGGAATACCACACCGAATCCAAGGATAGTGTCTCATCTATCAATTATGGCCTAAGTAACATTTTCCTATAGTTTTAATTTAATCACACATTACTTTAACTGTGGAAAGAACTATCATCATTATCATATTTCTGAATAGGTTTAGAAGGCCTACTGCTTTTACTTGATGGGGGAAAAAAATCCATCACTTATATAGGTACATGTTTTCAAAATATTCACCGTACACACACAAAAAACCTGTCATTATTTGCCTTCAATGCTCTCCATTCTTATAGGATATTTTGTCAACAACCGTTTCTTTAAAGTCTTGCAATGTGTCCTCACTTTACTGAGCACTACTAGTTTGGAAAATCACTGCCTTCAAATCGCAGTGGGCTAAAAATGAATGAGTCTCTGTCAGAAATAAAGTGGAAAGGGAGAGCTTATGTGACACGGATTGACGACAGATAACAACTCAAGATGCTCAGCTTTCATGGAATGCTCTCATCTTGCAATGCACACAGGAAAAGGAAGTAGGGTCCTGTCATCTGATCAGCTGGATAACCACAGGCTCCACCTTGGGAACCTATTCTCATCTGCACACTTTAAAAGAGGAACAAGGCTACAGTCACAGGTAGAAAATGTTTGATTAATTGAGTGATTATAAGGACCACCTGGTTATCCGTCCCATTTCCCCTAATGAGTGCTGTGGTTTATTCTCTTCTATCATGTTTTGTTCGTGGCTTTGGAAAACATCATCACACTGGGAAATATCCCTCCAAAATACATGATTTAGGTGTGTCCTATTAAAACTCAAGTTTTCTCTTTGAGCTCCCAAAGGGTGTTTAATTAAGAACACTAAAATATCGATAATATATTCTAAGCGAAGTGGATGTCACTATATGCACAACAAAGCCAGGTTTTTCCTTATTAAAATAATTTGGGAAAGGCTGCTAATTGTTGGTTTCAACTGTAAAAGCACATTAAATTCATACAATGATATGTCACTCTTAGTTACATAAAAAGTCTAATTAGAACTTAGATCCAATTAGCAAATCCAAATGTGTTGAAAGTCTAATTATCAGAGATATTGTAGTTCTCTTGCCAAATTTAAAACCTTGTGAAATTTCTTCTGAGCTGTTGTTTTCTTCTGAGGTCAACCAAAGACTATCCTCAATTACATTCCTTGACATGCACTTTTTCTAATTACTTCAAGAGGATTTTATTTTCCTAAACCAAATCACAATGGGTGGAAAGTGACATTGCTAACATCGAGTGAAGAGCTAAATTTCCACTCTGCTCTCTCCACATTTCTCAACTATATTACTTAATCTTAAGCTTAACAGACAGCTCTTCAGGAAAGACTTGCAAATATAGTAGGCACATCTAAGATGCCAAAGCAACATTCTTTAGGGTTACTTTTCAAGTTTGGAAAATCGCTTGTCAATTTGCCTAAGTAACTGAGATATATCAACGCTGACTTGGCAATAGTACAATCGTGCAATGAGTAGTCAAAATAGTTGCTATTGGGTGAGAAAACAGCTGGTAGAGCTCTGGAAATACATATAAAGTATACAACTTCAGGGCCAAGTACTGGTGGCTTACACCTGTAATCCCGGTTACCCAGAAGTTTAAGAACTGGAGGATGGTGGTTCAATGCCAGCCTAGTCAAACTCCATTTTCAAATAATTAGCCAAAAGCAATGTTGGAGGTGTGGTTCAAGTTGTAGAGCACCTGCAACTCAAGCAAGCTGATAAGCATGAGACCGTGTGTTCAAAACCTGGTACAACCAAAAGGTTTTTTCAATGTATAACTTACTTGTTTTTCTGAGTTACCTACCCCTTGAATAACTCAATATAGTAAATGGTTTAAAAGCTCTTCAGAACCCTTGAGAGTTTGCAAGTTAAATAACCCAAACACATTTGAGTCAGGTAGAATATGAAAATACATCTCCAAACTTAAGTGGGGTGCTAACATTAGTTGTTCTGCATATTCTTTTTTTTCTCATTTACTTTTTTATATTTAGACAGAGTACTAGGGTTACAGGCATGAGCCACTGTGACCCAGCATAGATTTCTCATTTTAAGATCCTTTACTTTCTGTCCATACCGACTCATGTGCCTGAGGGTCACTTCAAGATATTCTGCTTGGTTTTTATTCTTCCCAACAATAAGTGATAAAAATGAGTTAGTTTTGTATAGATGTAAACTAAATTAGTATTGAAAAAAGATAATCTGCTCAGTAGAGCAAGACTGACAAATACGGGGTTTGAGAAAATCTAAAAGACATACCTAAGTTCAAACATGAGACTTATCTAACTACTCTGATTTCTTTGTTTGGAATCTCATCAACTTGACTTCCCTGCTATCTGGAGAAGGGTTTTTAGGTCTGACTATGTATTTACTTCTGTTTCTGTTTTTTTCTTTTTCTCTTTTTAGCAAGGATACCAAAAACTGATAAAGATAATGCACATGATCTTACACTATCTATTCAATGGAGTGCTTTCCTATACAGGAAATAATAAAAGTGCTCCCTGCAACATATAAGATTTACAGTAAGTTTCTTTGCTAATGGCCAAACAAGATTCACATCCTTTGGTGGTCTGAAAAACTAGGGAACACTTAGAAGAGCAAAAAAATCTAAGAACTAAATCCATATCCTTTCAATTGCAGTAGATAGATTTCCTATATTATTCTCTGGTTATTGCCTGAAGTCATTTTAAAACCTTTGAAATGCTTAGCGCTCTAATTATTTCCTTCATTGGAGCTTTAGCAATAATAGCCATGTAAGCCTTCTGTTAAAGTCAGTGTAATACCATGTGTTCAGCAAGCTGGTTGATGTATTTGCATGAGCGCAGTAGTATGCTGCTGTCATTATGTATAGCAGTGATCACACAGCAAGTATTTTCTCTTTCCCATATGTTCAGTTTTCATTTGTCCATAAGTTGTAAGGGATGACTTCTGACTCTGGAGTTTTATATCCCTATTTTTCAGGCAGAGTTAGATGTCAAAAAGATCTGAACTGCTCCACTTTAATTTTACACTCAATAGTTTGTAGATTTTAATAAGAGGAGTCAAGAGAGCTCTTAATTGAATAGTGCAAAGAATGCCCAACATTTATTAGCATGTAGTCATATGGAATAAACAAAGCCTGCCTATACAACCCAAGCTTCAGCGATAGGACAAAAAATATCTACTGCACTAAGACTGCATGCTAACAGACATGATGCTTCACTTCCATCCTCAGCCTTTACACTGAGAGGAAATGACAAAGACACAGGTAAATCAACTTGAAAGCTAGTCATTTATACACATGCAGCTTTTATTGGGTAAATGCAACTTCTATAATGGGATTGAAGGTGTGAGAAAGAATACATGTGGCAGGTTGACTCAGACACATGCTTTACAGAGCTAAATTGGAATGCTTTCTTGCTTAGACACGTGCAGGAATGCAGTATGTCAGTAATTCTTTCAATAATAATTTTCGTTATGGCATTTTCCACCTGTAAAAGAGGTTCAATTTGTAAGACCTGCTCCCTAGAGGATGATTATATGCTCCTAAGATTCTATTTCTACAGTTTGGTCATGACCATGAAGTAGCTCTCTCTCTCTCTCTCTCTCTCTCTCTCTCATGTGGAATAACCTTAGTATTTGAGTTTCTTTCAGGAGAAAATACATGTGGAATAACCTTAGTATTTGAGTTTCTTTCAGGAGAAAATACCTTTGAAAAACCAGGAAAATGAAGCACATAATTTGAATGCTTATGTCTCCCCAATTTGCTGCTGAAAAACAAAACCTTCTGTACTAAGAAGATGAATGTGACAAGTGATTTCTATAGCATACAACCTGAGAAGTAATATATACACATATGCATACATATGCACACATACATATATGTACATGATTAAAGAAATAGCGCATAGCAGTCATAATAGCCAGTTATCAATTGGCATTTAGTTTCTTTAGTAATATTTTGATGTTATAATAAATTACGCTCTCTTTTCTGATACTTCATTGTGTAAAACCACCATTGAACTCTATTTAGAGGCAATATTTCAAAGCACTCTACATTAGAAGATTCAGCACTGGACTACCTAGGTTCAAGCACCCACCTATTTTTATTTATTATGTACAATGATTTTTAATTTGTGTTAGCTCACACACTTTGGATATATATGTATATATTCCCAGAATAATATTATTGAAAATATAATTAACTAATAGTAATGCACCATAGATCCTAGGCTAACATATACAAAGAAAACTTAGTGCTTTTATTTTCTTACCATAAAAACTTATTTTCCAAACTAAGCAATTTCTGTCAGTAAGTCCTCAGTCTTTCCGACTTGCTCCCTCTCTCTTGCCCTTACTAAATATATCCTCTCTGACCCTCCCATTTCATGGGTCTGTGCCAGTGGGTCTCAGTTTTCTCATGCCTTCCATGGTTTCTTCATAGCTCTGTTGGAAGAATGGATTAATTTCAAATGTCAAGCGCTAAGAAGAATCCTTGGCATGTAATGTTTGATGTTACCATTCTTTTTTTTTTAATAAGTTTTTTTAATTGTGAAAATACTGTACAGAGGGGTTACAGTTACATGAGCAAGGTGATGAGTACATTTCTTATCAAGTATTGTTGCCTCCTTCTTTGTTTTCCCCCTACCATCCCACTTCCAGAAATATATTCCCCCTGCACCTCCCCCCACCTAAATTGCAAAGTTTGTTGTTCAACAGG